CAGGAGGCGACGGCCAAACTGGCTTACAAATGTGTGACACACCAATCTGTATTGTAGGCCACTGCGAAAGCCATTTGAGTTGGGAGTTGGTCAATTGGTTTGATCAAATTGGCCTCAGGATCTTGTTCTGCAACAGCTGGGAGTATGTCATGTTGTTTCTGCCACTGCCAGGTTTACACCCTCGAAATGAAACGGCGAAACAGAGCCATGAAAGATGATGAACGAGCGATGAATAGAGCAATACATACTCTTTGCCTTTGCCTGTAGAAGTTTTCTTGAAGCGTTGGTGGTTGCTGAGGTTTGGGCCATGGTGAGGAGCATCACAATGACAATGCTAAGGAAGCACCTTGCGGAGGCAAAACACATATATAAGATTCATAAACGGTTTTCAATGATATCATATAATTTGTATATAAATATATGATATATATATATATATATATGAATAAATACGATACAACTCATACATATATCATATATATACATATATGTGATAAATATATATACATATGAATATATATGATATAAATATCTATATCTATATATATATATATCATACATATATATATACCAGTAGTACCGCACAAGGCGGTGGCGGAAGTTTCAAAAATAGGAAACCTATAGGAAGGGTTGGTTGTTGTGACTCACGGATGGCAGAGCGAATCCATTGATGGACCGAAAGGTGGTTGGAGTTGTGCTTTTTGGAATGGTTGCAATGGTTGCAGCGGTCACCTCACTCACAACTCCTGGATGTAGCGTGCTGTAGCCCAGTAGTTCTAGTTGTAGTTGTAGTTATAGTCATAGTTGTAGTGTTGTTGATGTTGTTGAAGTTGCTGAAGTTGTCGAAGTTATAATGTTGTAGTTGTGGTTGTAGTTGTAGTTGTAGTCGTAGTTGGACCACGGTGCATAATTCGCCGTGGCAAAAAATGCATTTTTTGACCATTGGAGGGGTTACGCTGGGGTGGGGTGGGGTGGGGGGGTGTATTGACGACCACGTCCTTGATACTACGTCGACAAGACATGTCGAGGTAACTTGGAAGACGCTCTTGATGCTACGTTGATTGACGTGGGGTGGGGGTGGGTGGGGGTGGGGTGGGTAACGTCCTGACGACCACGTCCTTGATATTACGTCGACAAGACATGTCGACGTAACTTGGAAGACGCTCTTGATGCTACGTTGATGACGTGGGGTGGGGTGGGTGAAAAAATTAACCTAAATAGTTTCTAGGGACCTACCTCGAACCATATGATATGTCGAAGATCCAAAAAATAGATGCACTTTTTCTTTAGTGGATGATATGATATGTCGAAGATCCAAAAAAAAGATGCACGTTTTTTCCCTGTGAGGTGCGAACCTCAGCGGAACGTTAGAGATGACTCGGGTGCAAACGGATGTTGCTGTGGTTGGATGGAGTTTCAGAGATGTAGGTACTCTCTTTTAAGTTTAAAGATATCACTACTTAGATGGGGAATGATGATATTGGAAGATTCACTACTTAATGCACTTCACTTGCTCGGCTGTTGTGATCTGACTGCAGTGGCGGTTCTGTGGAATGGCATATTCTTTTTTCTTGCTGGTGAGAATGCTCAAAGTTGCAGGATGCACCCTGAGCTAAACGCTCTATACCTTTTACTTATTTGTTCGGTACTGCAACTTGCATTGCCGCCTGTCTGTGGCCATGGAGAAAGGTTCCGTTGTCAGAGGTCCTTGAGGTCTTCGAAGTAGTGTGTTTGGCAGTGTCTGGCGTCTCAAGTGCAGATGACACCGTTCATGTGCTTGAAACAACTGAACGGTTTGGTGGTTACAGTTGGAGTTTACTGCCTAGATGTCAGGGTCCTTTACATGATGCCTTGGGAAGGTGGCATCGCCGTGGTGGCCGCTATGCAGAAAATGTTGATGAATTTGTGAAGAAGTTGGACGAATTACGTCGTGGATCTGTGAAGCCATTCTTTGATGATGCTGATGTGATGCCGTGGGAGGAGCGTTTGGAGTTGGCGCTGCAGAACCTGCACAATATTGACATTCCAGAGGAAATGACCGTGTGTGACTCGATTCCCGATACGGTCTCATGTGGGCCGATGGAAGAGCACCAAGAAGCATGTGTGCTTGAGGCAAGCCCGGATTCAGTGAAAGACATTGTGCAGAATGTGCAGTTTCCTCAAGTCTTCGCGCTTGGTGCGCACACCTTGGATGTATCTTCAAGTGAGGAGTGTGAAGAGCATGTCATGGAGTTTGAGTCCGTGGCTGCCGCACTGGATACCTCTTCCGATGAAGAGTCGTTGTCCGAAATCAATGGTTCAGAGTCTCCGCCTCACCTGGTGTCCAAAATGGATCTGTATCCGACGTCGGTGCTTGAATTGGAGATGTTTCGTCGCCTGTATCGTTCGGTCTCTTGTCTTCTCTGATTTTATATCTTTACACATTGCTTTATCTTATATAGTTCCACGTGGCTACCGTTTTCATGTTTTGGGTCTATGTTCAAAGACCTCCCTTGATGAATGTGAGGACCTGCAAGACCGCTTGGCTGGATGCGATGATTTTTTGACTGCAGATGTTCCGCTGTGGGCTCAACTGCTTCTCGACTGAGAAGAAGAGTTTGTGAATTTGCGAAAGATGTGCAGAAATGGATCTGATACTTCTTGGCCCTGTGAGAACGGACACGCCGCTTCTTCGTCTTCTTGTGTCCCCGATGTGCGGTCCGTGCCTTCTTCAGAAGTTGCTGGATCTCATGAAGAGTCTCGCACAACGGGCAGGCTATTAGGTCCGTTTAGATTTTTGAACCTGAAAGCTCGTGCTTCGAAATACGGCTTGTGTACCTCCTGTGGAACGCCAAGAAAATTGCATTTAATCAAAACAGATCGAAATGCTGGAGAGATTTGGCTACGCCGCCAAAATTTTTGGGTTCGTGGTCGGGACGACAAACCCCTTTGCTGGCACGGGAAAAAGTTTTTGGGTGAGCCACCTCCAAGTTTGATCAGGCAGCAAAAGGAAATGAAAAAACTTTGAAATTTCAATTGCAGCACGGTCCACAAACACGTGCTTGACCTTCTGGCTTCCGCTCTTTTGCGTTGCCAAAAAATCGCATTCCAGATGTGACTTGGTTTCTGACATACTTGCTGACTCAGCAATGACCCGTCGTTACAACGTGTAATTAGTTGTAATTAATGTAGTTGTAGTGTAAGTTGTAGTTGTAGTTGTAGTTGCAATGTAGTGTAATTAGTGTAGTGTAGTGTAATTAGTGTAGTGTAGTGTAGTTGCAGTTGCAGTTGTAGTTGTGGTGTGGTGTAATTAGTGTAGTGTATTGTAGTGTACTGTAGTGTTGTGTAGTGTAGCGTGGTATCGTGTAGTGTGGTCTAGTGTGTATTGTAGTGTAAACTAGCGTGTTGTAGTTGTAGTGTAGTGTCGTGTAGTGCAATGTAGTGGTAGTTGCAGTTGTAGCGCAATGTAATGTAATTAGTGTAGCGTAGTGTAATGTAATGTAGTGTAGTTCTAGTTGCATTTGTATTTGTAGCGGTACTGTACTGCAGTTTAATTAGTGTATTGTAGTGTAATGTAGTGTAGCTGTCACTGTAGTTGTAGCTGTGGTGGTGGTGGTGGTGGTGGTGGTGGTTGTGGTGGTTGTGGTGGTTGTGGTGGTTGTGGTGGTTGTGGTGGTTGTGGTGGTTGTGGTGGCTGTGGTGGTTGTGGTGGTTGTGGTGGTTGTAGTGGTTGTAGTGGTTGTAGTGGTTGTAGTGGTTGTAGTGGTTGTAGTGGTTGTAATGGTTGTAGTGGTTGTAGTGGTCGTAGTGGTCGTAGTGGTCGTAGTGGTCGTAGTGGTCGTAGTGGTCGTAGTGGTCGTAGTGGTCGTAGTGGTCGTAGTGGTCGTAGTGGTCGTAGTGGTCGTAGTAGTCGTAGTAGTCGTAGCAGTCGTCGTTGTAGTCGTAGTAGTCGTTGTAGTCGTTGTAGTCGTAGTAGTCGTAGTAGTCGTAGTAGTCGTAGTAGTCGTAGAAGTCGTAGTAGTCGTAGTATACTCGTAGTAGTCGTAGTAGTCGTAGTAGTCGTAGTAGCCGTAGTAGTCGTAGTAGTCTTAGTAGTCGTATAGTAGTTGTAGTAGTCGTAGTCGTAATAGTAGTCGTAGTAGTGGTATATCCTGGCCGTAGTCGTAGTTGTAGTCGTAGTTGTAGTTGTTGTTGTAGTCGTCGTAGTATAGTCGTAGTCGTAGTAGTCGTAGTAGTCGTAGTAGTCGTAGTAGTCGTAGTAGTCGTAGTAGTCGTAGTAGTCGTAGTAGTCGTAGTAGTCGTATAGTAGTCATAGTAGTCGTAGTAGTCGTAGTAGTCGTAGTAGTCGTAGTAGTCGTAGTAGTCGTAGTAGTCGTAGTAGTCGTAGTAGTCGTAGTAGTCGTAGTAGTAGTAGTAGTAGTAGTAGTAGCAGTAGTAGTAGTAGTAGTGTAGCAGCAGCAGAAGCAGCAGCAGCAGCAGCAGGAGTAGGAGGAGTAGTAGTAGTAGTGGTGGCTGCTGTAGTAGTTGTAGTGTAATTAGTGTTGTGTAATGTAGCGTAGCCGTAGTGTAGTGTAGTGGTACTTGTAGTTGTAGTTGCAGTTGTATACAAGTTGTCTATCTATCTATCTGTCTATCTGCAAGCTTGAAAACGAAGCTATTCTGCGAGACTTCCTCAGTTTTTGAACTTGACAACATCAAAAACGAAGCAATTCTGCGAGACTTCCTTCAAAAATAGAAAGTTTAGTGCAGTGCTGACGGCTTCGTACCAATATGCGTTTTGCGTTTTTTCCACTCCACCTGTGTAAAGTACTGCGCCTGCCACGAAAAAGTGATGCCAGGTCATACGGAGTGCTGCACCTGACACGCAAAACCATCTCAGCAAACCTGAAGATCTGATGCTCCAAAATGCAACCCCTCTCAGGAAATCAGCGCCCTGACCTCCTAACAGCTGTGATGAACATGTCTCTTGTATCGCTCTTCAAATGTCCCACGCCTGCCATCGTTTTTGGAAATGCCACAAA